CCCACGCAAGGAACTTTTGATAGGTTATCGGTTTTTCTAGAAAGGGACCAACAAACATGGGATTGGGACGGAGTCCGACATATGCTGGAACCAAAAGCATCCATGGGTAACATAGCTACATGTTTTGGAATCATGTGTTAAACTGAGACGCATAATCCTTCAAGCTCTCATCGTCCCCTTGCACTTGGCAACGGACTCCTTGGGTATCATGAAATTTTGGGAGCCGATGTGGAATGCCGACCTGAGCTGGTCCCATTCATTAATTGATCTTGGAGCCAATGAATGGTACCACTGTTAGGCCTTTGGGCCTAGAGTAAATGAAAAGGTACAACAGCGGAGGGCGCCGCTAGCCTCATGAAGGTCCATCCACGATGTGTACTGTCCAAATGCGCGTCAGGATCGAAATCCATGGTCAAGATATCAATTTGGGACATTTTTATATTGGCGGGTAACACATGGCCAGAATGTGAGGAGACATCGGGGAGTTCAGATTGGCAGAGAGTATCAGATTGAAGAGGGGGGAGTGAGAAGGGAAATGAAGTGTATATGGTTGGTGAACCCCAATTCTACCTGTCCTCCATATCAGCAATACATTGCCTCAAAACGGTAATAGCCCCTTATGGGGAGAAGACTTGGAATTAATGGGGCGTTGGCCGAGAGATGTTTTGGGTTGGTACCAAGGCAGTCAAACACCAAGCAGTTTGTTGTACTGAACTCGACTTCCGATCGGCCCCAGTCCTCACTCGTGTCCTCCTTGGAATGTGAGATTATTCTTTTGCTCTTCCTTTTGGCAGCTTCACGTCAATGTGACTCCACCTCATGGGAAGCCGTAACGCCCCACTTTGATTTGACGAAAATCAGTATAAAATTTTTCAAATTTATTTCAAAATCATTTGTGGCGCTACTCATTTTAAAACCAATCATCAATAGTCATCAATAGTAACATAAATTCAATCATAAATTCATCTCCCAAACGGGTTCATCAATAATGCCATCAAACACCCAAACCGGGTTTCTCAAAATCATAGTATCTAATGAGTATCTCCTTCTCATTATTCCAATCATCAATAATCATAAATGCATAATAACGTAAAATCAGTTCATAAGTACGAAAGCACATCAATAATAAGTTGGTCTCAATGACCGACTACCACTCGCATCCCTCCGCCGTGCCCGCACTTACTAACCTTGAACCGTGAGGAAACAGGTGGGGGTGAGCACAAATGGAAATCGTGGCGCTCACCACTATGCAATAATCAATGGTCAATATTTAATAAATAAAACATGTATGGTCGTAGTATGAATCACAAATCAATTAAATATCCCATCTCCTGTCCCAGACTCAACCCTCATGTGCACACCTATATCAATAGATTGCTGCTGATACACGTATCGAATGCCCCTCGGGTCTTACAATCGATGCCCAGCCAGCAGGAGTAAATCCACTTCGACAGCCAAGACCTACGCCTTGGTCTTACAAACTAAGATCACCATCTGTCATACATAAATAAAGGAGACTACCAATCGGGTACATTCTAAAGCTATGGGGATAACCGTTCGACGACCGATACAGTCCACATCGAAGGCTACATGGTTCACATACATATATTGATCATACCGCAGGAAACAACAATTAATTATGGTATAATTTCATAAATAAACCCACCTGGTTGAAAGCAAGTGTTAACACAAAAGTATGTATAGGCGGCGAGCTCGGCTCGTCAAGTACCTACATTTAACAAAATAGCCCTATAAATGACTATCCAATACAAGACAACTTATAGAAACATTCATGCGATACAACTCAATTCATATAGTTCATATAAGCATTTTTTTAACACATAACAAGAGCTTTTCAAAACTTAACTCGGGCAACGTTTTTAAAATCGACAAAACTATCAGTGCATAATTCTTATGAACATGATTCAAATTTCATTAGAATCCTAAGACATGCATCTACAATTCTCATGACAACACCAAAAATAAATAAGGCCATTTACCAGGAGATAAATCATCAAACATTTACAATAGAATAGCAGTCGACAATTAAAATCAATCAGCTGACAGGACTTCAGTAATTGCAGCATAAATGAAGCTACAGACATGCTTTTAATAAGATTCGAGAACCACATGGAAGATAACTCAATTATCTACAACTTTGCTGAAGACCATATTGACAAATAATGATGTTATCAATGAGTTAAACATAAAATATTCAGTTCATGAAATCTGTCAGAAACAAATTCTTGTTACAAACAGCACCTCAGTATTTAGACTTTAATTCATGCTACAGACCTCCAAATGACCTGATTCAAATTCCAAATTAAACCTAAGACATGCACCTACAACTTTTCTTTAGAATACAGAAGCAGATAAAATCATTACGATAGTGCAAAAGCGGTTAACATCTAGAATAAGTTTTCTGCCAAAAGTTCAAAACTCATCTCATGCATGTTCTAACTCAACTAAACCTAACTGGAGCTATAGCCAACATATCAGTATGAACCTTATCTCATCAGAAAGCTAAGAAATAGACTTATAATATTCATGAAGATTATTTTCACATTTGAGCACATTAAGACATGATAAACAGGTCAAACATTGAACACAACATGCTGCCAGGTTTTTACAGAAAACTGTTCGCGCAATAATCTTGTAAAAATCATAACTCAATTGTTTCAAATCGGAATTACGTAATTCTAAAGCTCACAGAAAGCCAAAAAAAATGAACTTCATTTCTTTAGAAGGGCACAATATCAAATTACAAGTTTCTGAGGGTCAAAAATGAGGCACGACAGAGCAGTATTTACCACAACAATTCATGCCTTCTCAACGAATTTCATTCCTTTGATCCCATATCCAATGCAACTAACCGAAACAGCCCCAAAACATCTTATAACTTTAATATGACGCACATAACAAGAGAAACGAATCACTACTCCCATGCTGGGTCAACCATTTCAACCAAACATTCCCATAAACTCATGCGATATCACATAAATACACAAACTCAAACCTAAGCATGCAAGCACTACTAAAACCTATCCACATATCAATAATAACACATGAATTAAAAGGGTTTAGAGCCTCATATACCGTTCTCGGGAGTAACACACGAAAACGAACGAAAGGGCTTAAACGGGGGTTGTG